TACTCTCACATAATGACTACATGAAAACTGAACAATATAGTGACTTTATAGTTAGTGTATATGGGGATTATTAAAGTCACATGTTAAAATGATGAATTTTAAGAGTTATATTTTAATATAATAGTTGAATAAATGTTTCCCATTATCAATACTGGCACTTGGCTTTATCTGAAACAAAAATTAAACATATTATTTATAAAAAACCTCAAAATAAAAATAAACACCTTGAAAAGATATGCACATATTAGTTCAGATTACAATAAAAATTTAAAGATGAGCTAAGTCCACATTTTAATTTCTTTATTTAGAGATTTTAATTTGGAAACTACAAAATTTAATAATTACACCCAATTCAATTAAATTGAAGTGTAGGAACTGCTTCAAAGAGAAATACAACTAAAATAAAAGCTAGAATTGTTATAAGATGTTTGTGTATATTTATAATATTATAAGAGATCTGTCCAAGTGTTGTAGAGGTTTTTAAAAAGCTTATATTTTTATTGTTTTAGAAATATCTGTGAAAATGTGCTCAATTATGCCATGAAGTAGTAAATGATGTTAAAATCAATAAATTATGTTAATGTTAATGGTTGAGCGAATAAACAAATAAACTTATTTTTGCAGAATTATTTTCAATCACTCGATGTTAACAGTTTGAGAAGAAAAAAACATTGCATTTAATAAAAACAAAAAATATTTTTATTTTTGAAATGAAGAGCGAAATAATACAGTGACTGAACAATTAAATATGATTAAATATGATCTAACTATACATTATTATGCAGTTAATTACATGAAACATATTAAGCAATTTAAAATTAAAATAAAGTTTTGTCTATTTCATGCAATACTTATGTAGAACCATAATCATAGTTCACGCCTAAGGGTTCATCAGAATTGTAAGCAAGTTTAGGATTTATTATGTCTACAATGTGCATTAAACTTTTTCAATATTTAGTGTAATAATAAATGAGGATTACATACCTGAATTTTTATAAGTTTAATGTAAGTTTCTAAAACTTTGCCACGTATTCCACATGATTTTGCTAAGCCACTTCTGAAGTTACTTTTTGTAACATTTAACCACCAAAAACTAGTGTCATTCATTGAAAAAAAAAAACAGTTCCATACGTCACGTAAATATTTTCATCGAACTGTCAAACTCACACATCCAATAAACAGAAATGAGACATCTGCATCGAAACAAATTTGGAAAAACGGAACGTTAATTATATTGCAACTGATAAGAATAAATTAAAAATATGTTTTAGGTGGAGAAGAAAAGTTTTTTGTCGTGCAACTACATTTAAGTGCAATTTAAGAGAAAAACACCGCTATACCGCTGAGGCGGCCTTCTTACACTGCATAGGTAATGTACAGTATGATACTATAAGATATTACGGCATTTGCAACTACTCGCTCGGCCGGTTTACGCGCGTATTAGACCACAGGCCAAGCACAATACAGATATCAGATACAATGCCATAGCAATTATGGGAACAATTATGAATTCAAAATATTCTCGTTTATTTTTATGTAAACACCACATATGAAAGTGTATTTGGATACATAAGTCCTGAAGTAACATTTTTATTTCAGTTAATACCTTAACCAATAAATTATTTCATAAGAGTACTAAAATATGTCTTCGGATTTTAACAAAATACTTTTGTGGATTTTAAGAATTACTTTTGTTATAAGCGCCCTCTTTGGTTGAGTAGCTAGTAACCATATAAAAAACATATCGCTCTAAAAATAAATCCTAAAATATGTGTAAGAAATAAAATACTTAGAAACATTAATTATTTAATTTCCACCTGACAATAATATTTCAATTTTCTTTCCGTTTTTGCCGCTATTCAATAAAACGATGTTCATAAGTTAAACGACCAAAGAAATTTTATATTGTGCAATCATGGGCATAAATTATGGGGTTAACATATATTCAAACTTATGAAAAACGATAAATCTGGTCTTTGGTTTGAACGTTTGAACCCATATACTAAGTGAATTGGTTGAAGAAAATCATATTTTATACTATAGATATGTTAAAACATACAAAGTCATTGGTCGTAACATTTCTAAATAACCTGACAGCACACATACCATTTCGTTCGAATGGTATAAAAATAATAGCGTAATATAATATTGCGTATACGCAATAAGAAAAAAGAGGACGGCAAGTATTTGTCACTTTAGCGTAAGTATAAAAAAAATCTTTAGGTCTTGTATCATGTATTAACTGATGTTTGTGCTTTCAGTCCGGAGACTATTAAAGCTTCATCTGACGCAGAACCGTTGGGCTAACCAGAACCCACGGGTATGTGCCCTCCGCTGTGGGTAGGTCCGCGCATGTGCTCATGCGTGTGTTTAACTACGGCATGTCATCTAAGGGCCATCGATGTTGCGGTGCGGACCGAGACCCCGATGGCCGTCGATTGTGATTTTAGCTAATCGGTGGCTGGGGGCGGTGAGAACCCTGGAACGCGGGAATGCCTTGTATATGCGTTGTGTTGGTCTCGCCGTGCTCGGAGGCGAGGGCGAACTAACGTGTTTGTTGCTACACTAACTGTGTGTGTAGTGTTATCCGGCGGGACCCCCGACGGTGGGTCCGACGTGCCTAAGTCCCCTTCCTCAACAGGGTCGATGAGAACGTTTCGCGGGCGACGCTTGTTGAAGCTCGCGTTTGGATCGGGTTTGTAATTTGCCGCGCTTACCACCAGAGGGTTGGGATAATGTTCGGCTCTATCCAAGAAAATGAGCCGTGATAGCTCAGTGTCCGAGCACTCGCATTTAATTCAATATACTCGAGCAACCTGAGTTCGATCCCCGGTGCCAGCACCAATGAAGTTTTTAACTTTTTAAGTGCTCCGCGGTGAAGGAAAACATCGTGAGGAAACCTGCATATTTTCGAAATAATAACAAAAAAAAAATCGAAGATATGTGAAGTCCGCCAATCCACAGTGGGGCCGCGTGGTAGACTATGCCCTGATACCCTCTATATAGAGGAGGCCTTTGCCCAGCAGTGGGACGTGTATAGGCTGCTACTTTACTTTTTTTACTTTATCCAAGAACCGTTCTGTCAGGTCTTTGAAAAAATCGCGAATCGTCGGGAGTCTGCAATCGCTGTGTAGGTCGACGTTGCGTTGATACCACTGCGCACCGGTTGGCGGCGGATGAACTTATTTTGTACTATTTGCAGCTTGTACAAGCGAGTAGGGTGCATGCGTAGGTCATAATAGGTCGTACGCAGTTCTTATATAATAATAATTTGTGCCTTATGGGCATTTTACTTTTAGCGTTAGTTAAATTGTGCAGCCAGCCGGAGACGAACGCAGCTCTATTACGAACGTAATTAATGTGCGTAGTAAATGACATACGCGATTCGAAAGTGACTGCTAAATATTTGACCTTTTTCTCCCAGGGGCCATAAAGAGATATTTGCCCTAGCTTTCTGCATTGGCGACGACCTTTATAAAGATGTGAAGGGTAATTACTTCGTGTGAAGTGAATTGCCACACTCTTTTTGGGATTTACTTCAATACTCCATTTGCGGAACCAATCGCTGCACCGGTTTGCGGCGCTTTGGAGACGACTAGTGAGTCGATTAAGATTTTTATTTGTGTAAAAGAGGGCCGTGTCATCCGCGAAAAGCGCGAGATTGACGTGGGGGTCTTTTGGTATATCGCTGGTGTAGAGCGTAAAAAGTAAGAGTGAGAGGCAGGAGCCTTGTGGAACGCCAGCCGTCCTCAATTCGATATCGAAAGGAGCGGTTCGACAGGAAGGCCCGAATGGTCTCTAGGTGCATTCATCTTTCTCGTATTAAACTTATTTGCTGCCTCTATTTTTCTTTGCCACGAAAACATTTTAATTAGGACGTTTTCAGCTTCATTCCGGAAGATTTAACAACATAATACATGTGGTTAATATATCATTAGTTGTAGAGAATCCGTTTTTCAGAGTAGCAAATAAGTTTGAAAATTATTAAGTATACTTGCTGCTAAGGTGCTGCAGTTTATCGATTGTCCTAATCAACTTTGGAATCTAAGGGAGGGATGTCGTATATATATTTTCATATTAATATAAAACGAATCGATGTTTTTGTTTCCGATATCAGATATATTTGGATCCGATATATCGATACAAAATATTCAGTATCAAAAACGATATTTTTACAAATTCGAATCCAGCGGTAGACTAGACTACCATAAAGTCTGAATACAAGTCTTTGACCAATGTGGGGCGGCCACCCGCAAGATATACTGACAACCAGTCCAAAAGATGCCGGCCGCTTCAAACCGATTGAAGTGGAAATTCCTAGAGGAGGTTCAGCAGAGGACGCTTACAGGCTGAAATGATGATGATGATGACAGAGTGTGACCCTATCATGTAATACTTTTGCTTTGTTTTTCCTGAATATGTAAATTGATTACTTGTTACTAATTGCATTTTGCGCCATTTTGTCACCATATTTTTTTTTTATGTTAAAAGTTGCCATGCGACCAGGTGGTTCACCTGATGTTAGGTGAATACCACCACCCATGGACATCTGCTACACCCGAGGGTTTGCAGATGCGTTGACAACCTTTTGAAAATTGGGCTCCGGCTAACTCACTCACCAGACGAAACGCGATAGTATTACACTTCCACTCTACGCCGGTCTTCTGTAAGGTCGTGGTACCTACCGGCATGAGCCTGGCCATTCGTGCAATAGCCGAGGCTGCTGCGTGGTCCTAACACCAAAAAATCATATGAGACATTACAACCTTATCAGTGGTAGTACTATTGCTCACTATCGTATTGCACCAATCTGTTGCAGTGGATGATATTTTCAGATGAAAAATTGATTAAAATAAATTAAAAACTGATAACTTTTATAGATTTATTTATAAAGTACTCAAAATACATAGATATATCTAGCACACCTTTTATCAACAATTCCTTATTTAATGTCTTCTTAGGTGAACAAAATTATGAAAGACGTATCTACCACTCAGTCATATCTTTCGTTTCTTTTTAAAGAATTCAATTTTTTCTTCTAAACTGGCTGAAAAAGCAAAAATTATTCTATTTACTTAAATGGTAATGAGTATTTCTATTGAAATTGACATTTGAATAATGTTTATTTTAATGTTTATATTAAACAAACATTAATAATTATATACAGCGTGTCGTTACCATCGCGACAATAAATGAACACACGTCTAACGCTACTTGCCAATAATCATAAAAAAATATTAACGTTAAACAAAATCCATAATTAAAAAAAATATATTTCAAACAAACTAAGTTAAAAAGACACAAAATTTGTAACACCTATACAACTCGCGCCACAGCGTCGTATTACAAGCCTCTCCTTCTAACAGTATGTTTTGTCTCTTTTAAATTCATTCAACCCATTCATATGCTTTGTGACCTTTACAAATGAACTTTACGTTACGCTTTTATGGGTAAGGGTGTTCTAAAATTCTTTGTTTTGGAAAATTTAATAACTCTGTAAATATTGGTGTTTAAAGAATTTAAATGTTTAATACAACTTTAAAAAGTTATCCCCTATATGTGTGTTTATTTATTGTCGCGATGGTAACGACACGCTGTATATGGGGGATATTCATTTGTTTTCTCGTCTGATTGGGTTTATAAATAAAATAAACATATAGATCTATATTGCATATATAAAATAAATATTATGAATAAAAATAAACATATAGATATAAATATTGTATATAATACATATATAAATAGGACCCAACCAGACGGAAACCATCGGCAGGGGAGACCAAACGGCCGAGGGTTCGGGTGAAAGGGAGAGAAACCGGCGGACGATGCGGGCGGTATCGAGGAGCACCGCCTTCTGCATTAGAGCTTGGAGCGTTCCGTCCCGGAGTCCCAGTCGCCTCAGAGGCTGACTGGGATCAACCCATTCGCATACACAACTATCGGGATAATTTCGGTCGGCATACCATCCCACATGTCGGTCACCTCGTTAGCCAGGTTCAGATACTTCATCTTCTTATCTGTTTCGGCTTTTACGAGGTTTTCGTGATATGGAATGGTAATGTCGACCAAAAATACCCTCGACGGTGCCCGTTCCATCAACACGATATCAGGTTTGTTCGCGACAATCGTCCTGTCCGTGGTGATGGACCGGTCCCAATAAGCCTGGCGCGGTCATTTTCGAGCACGGTCTCCGGAGAGTACTTATAGTACGGCAGTTTCCGTTCCAGGAGGCCGTATTTCAGAGCGAGCTCCTGGCGTAAGATTTTTTTTTCTAGCTACTAGGTTGTATCTATGCAGATACTCAGAGTTAGAAAGCATGGAACAACCGGAGATAACATCGTCGCCGAAGCGACTCTCCGGGATGGCGACAAACTCGACAGATGTCGACGGTGCCATCCCTTAGGATGTATTTCCGATAGTTGTTCGTCTTAATAAGCCGATCCTGTATCGCACAGACAAAACCTTCGGTTTCCCCAAAGAGGTCACCGAAACGTAGCCAGTTAAGGGAGGCAATAGTATCTACGAAAGGCTAGTGCAGAGCCTTGTAGAACCTCTCGTGGAGATATTTCTTTTATAAATATATTATTATTAATGTTTGTTTATTTTGATTAATTAAATTTATTTTAAATATAGTATAATAACCCTAACAAAAACACTAGCAGGCTGCAAAAACCGAGTCTGCTACTGCCTGGAGGCAATTATTTGTAGACAGAAGTGAAAGCACGTCAAGTTGTTAGATTCAAACAAAACTATTATTCCAGTTTTTACGTAACAAATTAAAAATGAATAACCTTTGAAGCTATCTCTGGGAAGTAGTTTTTTTTTTACGAACATACAAAATTTATACTACAACTCTAGTCACATCTATATATGATTGTCGTAACTATATGCAATGCAAATATGTGACCCCTTGTACAAATTAACCCAGTATGACATTGCAACCTCGGATTCCAGTGCCATGCACCAACGTTTTTTTATGGATCATTTTAAGGATTTTTCACAGACAAACGTCAGAAAGTCAACCTCATATCACTACACTTTTAAGATTTAATTATTTGGCAATTCATATAATGATATTGCCATACATTAGAGCTTGTTTTTTTGATTATATGTTATACACATACATGTATGTTTTATTAATTATACTTGAATTGTATACTAACAGCATTTGTCTCGCTTCAACAATGGTGTATAAACCTTAGGTTTCACTCCTTGTAACAAGCATTTGATATGTGCAAAAGAGTCATTTTCTCTTTCTTTATCAGTATTACACAATTCTCTATTATTCTTCCGATATTTAGCCTCCAAATGTTGAAGAGCGTCGCGTATCATTGTTGTTCTGAAATTCAATTGAAAATCATTATTTATCCAATTATTTTAAATCATGTGATTCAATACTAATTTTAACACTGCTGGGTTAATGATGAAAGAATGTTTAAACTTCTAATTCGTTTAGTTTTTCACAATGCGGTCTTTTCGAGCCATTCCGACATGGGAACCTTAAAGAAGAGAGCATTTTCTTTCCTAAAAGACCGGCAACGCATTTGAAAGCCCTCCGCTGCTGCAGATGTTCAAAGGCGGCGGTGATCATTTACCATCAGGTGAGCCTCCTGCCTGATTGCCCCTTCTTTTTTTTTAAAAAAAAAGGCATAATTTTTATTTACGCCGGGTATATTGTAAATCGGTATAAATAATAAAAATCCACGTACAGATAATGCCGACAACTGGCAATTTATGACGATTTTTTATGTTGAACATAGTCACAGCTTGTGTTATATTTTAAGTTTAATGAGATATGAAACCCGCTTACTTTATATTGTGAATTGACCATTCACCTTGAAGTGTCGTGATTAAAGACTTAATATTACCATCATCATAAATCCATTCACTCGTCTCCTCCAAGTCATAGCTGCAGTGGAATAGGTTTAGTGGTATATCTAAGGCCATGTTGTACTGTGGCTTTCTGAAATAACACAAATAAATATATAAAAGAGTAGACAAATTGTTTTACAAATAAAACCTTAAAAAAAATAACAGATTATTACGTTTATGGTCTGAATTAATTCTGGATAAAGGTCTGAATAATATTTGAAATTTGAATTTTTATGAAAATTAAATGTCATATATGCTTTTGAAGTAAATGTAAACTATACACGATTTCCAAAAAACAAATTTAATCACTATTTCTTTCGTTAAAGAATATATTACAAGCTAATTTGTGCTTAACTACCGCCGCTGACGCGCGCGCTTCGCACCCTTACACCCAGTTTCCGAAAGCCCAATCAATTTTAATTTACGATAAATCTCTTATCAATCGTTGTTTAACATGATCTGAGTTGCTGGAACGTCTTAAACAACATTGATTTTGATTTGCAATTAGTCACTGATTAACGGACAATCAACAGAAAATCGAGTTTCTGAAAGCGTTTTTCGGTGGTCAACGAGCTGTCAAAAGTTTTATTAAGTAATCTGTCAATTTGGACGATCAATCGTTGGTTAAAAATGTTATTTATCAAAAATCTTAGTTTTTATTAAAAATAAACATAATACGATGTTAGGACATTCATGTGTACTATTAACTATTTATTATTATGCGAACATATCATGTGATTAGAAAAAATACAAAATGCAATTCAAAAGTTAATAAATAATATGGATTCTTTCTTTTTATAATACTTACTTGTTTATTATGGATAAATTATTAAAGATTTTTTTGACATTTTGCATGTATTTATATAAATTAAATTTTATTATAGCTCGGACTTTTACGTTGGCAATCACACGGTGACAGGACTGGATAGTGACGTTAATTTAAGTTTTGTTTAAAAAGAGACAGCTATACAATAGAAAGAGTTAGTTGAAGTAAATCATTCATTTCATTCATTATCATTGGTTATACAGTGATTAGCTAATTTTTCTTGAACAAACCTTCCAGAAACCCAAGGCAGTTTTAACAAGAGATTAACAGCTGATCTTTTTTGACATTGTGTTATGTGATTGCTGCTTTGATTGGCCTTTCGGAAACTGAGCATTAATATCATAGCGGAGAAAAAACTGACCTGTTTTGTTTTGCTCTGAGTGAATTCACAAGAGTGGCAATGTGGACTATCTGTTACGATATTAGGTGTATCAAGTTTAAAGGAAATATATATTTATTAGATTAAGGTAAAATGAACTCTACTTCAATCGAAATAGGATTTTTTTCCTGTTATGCTCGATGTAAGATGTGTGTATAATAAATAAATACCTTGGATTCTTTTCAACATCCAACAATTCATTAATAATATCAGGTGTCTCATGTCCCTGACCAATGAGGATAAGCACACCCATGATGCAGCGGATTTGGTGCCAGAGGAATGCATTACCATCTATTTCTAAACAGTACATAGATGTTTCTAAAAGTATAAAAAGTAGTTAATGAATGTGATCAGTCTAACACCCAGTTTCCGAAAGCCAATCAATTTTAATTTACGATAAATCTCTTGTCAATCGTTGTTTAACATGATCTGAGTTGCTAGAACGTCTTAAACAACATTGATTTTGATTTGCAATTAGTCACTGATTAACGGACAATCAACAGAAAATCGAGTTTCTGAAAGCGTTTTTCGGTGGTCAACGAGCTGTCAAAAGTTTTATTAAGTAATCTGTCAATTTGGACGATCAATCGTTGGTTAAAAATGTTATTTATCAAAAAATCTTAGTTTTTATTAAAAATAAACATAATACGATGTTAGGACATTCATGTGTACTATTAACTATTTATTATTTATTATTATGCGAACATATCATGTGATTAGAAAAAATACAAAATGCAATTCAAAAGTTAATAAATAATATGGATTCTTTCTTTTTATAATACTTACTTGTTTATTATGGATAAAAGTTCATTTTTTTTATTAAAGATTTTTTTGACATTTTGCATGTATTTATATAAATTAAATTTTATTATAGCTCGGATTTTTACGTTGGCAATCACACGGTGACAGGACTGGATAGTGACGTTAATTTAAGTTTTGTTTAAAAAGAGACAGCTATACAATAGAAAGAGTTAGTTGAAGTAAATCATTCATTTCATTCATTATCATTGGTTATACAGTGATTAGCTAATTTTTCTTGAACAAACCTTCCAGAAACCCAAGGCAGTTTAACAAGAGATTAACAGCTGATCTTTTTTGACATTGTGTTATGTGATTGCTGCTTTGATTGGCCTTTCGGAAACTGAGCATTAATATCATAGCGGAGAAAACTGACCTGTTTTGTTTTGCTCTGAGTGAATTCACAAGAGTGGCAATGTGGACTATCTGTTACGATATTAGGTGTATCAAGTTTAAAGGAAATATATATTTATTAGATTAAGGTAAAATGAACTCTACTTCAATCGAAATAGGATTTTTTTCCTGTTATGCTCGATGTAAGATGTGTGTATAATAAATAAATACCTTGGATTCTTTTCAACATCCAACAATTCATTAATAATATCAGGTGTCTCATGTCCCTGACCAATGAGGATAAGCACACCCATGATGCAGCGGATTTGGTGCCAGAGGAATGCATTACCATCTATTTCTAAACAGTACATAGATGTTTCTAAAAGTATAAAAAGTAGTTAATGAATGTGATCAGTCTAACACCCAGTTTCCGAAAGCGCAATCAATTTTAATTTACGATAAATCTCTTGTCAATCGTTGTTTAACATGATCTGAGTTGCTAGAACGTCTTAAACAACATTGATTTTGATTTGCAATTAGTCACTGATTAACGGACAATCAACAGAAAATCGAGTTTCTGAAAGCGTTTTTCGGTGGTCAACGAGCTGTCAAAAGTTTTATTAAGTAATCTGTCAATTTGGACGATCAATCGTTGGTTAAAAATGTTATTTATCAAAAATCTTAGTTTTTATTAAAAATAAACATAATTCCCTAATACGTTGTTAGGACATTCATGTGATCTATTACCTGTTTATTATTTATTATTATGCGAACATATCATGTGATTAGAAAAAATACAAAATGCAATTCAAAAGTTAATAAATAATATAGATTCTTTCTTTTTATAATACTTGTTTATTATTGATAAAAGTTCATTTTTTTTCACGTTCTGTAAAGTTTTTTTTTTTTTTAAATTTTGCATGTATTTATATAAATTAAATTTTATTATAGCTCGGATTTTTACGTTGGCAGTCACACGGTGACAGGACTGGATAGTGACGTTAATTTATGTTTTGTTTAAAAAGGGACAGCTATACCATAGAAAGAGTTAGTTGAAGTAAATCATTCATTTCATTCATTATCATTGGTTATACAGTGATTAGCTAATTTTTCTTGAACAAACCTTCCAGAAACCCAAGGCAGTTTAACAAGAGATTAACAGCTGATCTTTTTTGACATTGTGTTATGTGATTGCTGCTTTGATTGGCCTTTCGGAAACTGGGCATTAGTGTGCAATTACTTATTATTTTATTATCGTCTTTAAGGCAAGGGATTATATCAGGACCAATATAAGTCGGAATCTTTAGATATAAAAAACTAGCTTCGGTAGTTTGTGTCCATTAAAAACTTAAATGCTAGCCAATATTGACATTATACAACGTGTCTTTACTACCGCGACAATAAATTAACACACATATTGAGATTTACTTTTAAAACTTTTTGATATAAGTTATTTTTATTAAAAGTTAATATTTACCTAGTAATTAATAATTTTAAAACAAACAATTTTAGGACACCTTGTAAGTATAAAACTATAGCGTGAAGTCCATTAGTAAAGGTCACAAATCATATGAATGGTTGAATGAATTTAAAAGGAGACAAAACACGCTGTTAGAAAGAAACAATCACGTTATACGGTTTGTAGATACTACGCGACTGCGACGTTGTCGTTTTGAGTCAAAAACGTAAACATTATGAATGAATCAGCCAGTTGTATAGGATGTTACAAATTATGTTTCTTTTTTATTTAATTAATTTATTTGAAAATTATTTTTTTTAATTATGGGTTTTTTAAGTTTATATTTTTTATGAGTATTGGTAAGTAAAGTTAGAATTGTGTTCATCTAATGTCGCGGTTGTAACACCACGCTGTATATAACAACTAGCGGACCCGACAAACGTTGTCCTGTAAACACGACTGAAATCCGAAAACAACATATAAATAAAAAAATTAAGAAAATAATTGTGGAATTGTGAATCTAAATCATTCCCGAATCGACCTGAAGACGGTCCAGCTGTTTAGAAGTTCAGTGACATACACACGTACAGAAGACATATACCACATAGTGTTACAACTGCGAGAATAAATGAACACACTTCTAACGCTACTTGTTAAAATAAAATACATAATTAAAAAAAATATTTTTCCAACAAACTAATTAAATGAAAAAGAAACAAAATTTGTAACATCCTATTCAACAACTGACTGTATGAATCAGAGACTTTATTTGTGCTGCAAGTTCGCTTTACAAGTATCTCCTTCTTACAGCATGTTTTATCTCTTTTAAGTTTATTCAACCAATTCATATACTTTGTGACCTTTACAAATGAACTTTATGTTACAGTTAAAATATGTAGAAAAAGTGCGAAAAGATTGTCGCCGCTGTGGGAATCGAACCCACGTCTTCGGCATTCGCGGCCTGACGCTCTAGCCACTGAGCTAAACGGCTGATTACCACACCGACGAAAATCTTAACGCATTCTTTCACATTTTTTTTCTTAGCATTTGAAGCAATGCTTGCGCCATCTATTGTTATATCTAGCGACAATCTTTTCGCACTTTTTCTACATATTTTAATGTTCAATCTTAAGTGCAAAGATTAGCACTATAAACAATTTAATTTTATGTTACAGTTTTATACTTAAAGGTATTCTAAAATTATTCGTTTTATTATGTACACTTTTTATTATGAACTTTCAACGAAAAAAAAGCCACACAAAGCGTGGATTCAGTTCAGCTGGTATAACATATATTAGACACAGCTTATTTTATTTTTTATTTTATCATTAGTATTTATAATCAGGACCCGCATTGCTAGCGAAAGATACTAACCATCATGCTTGTCATTTTCGTTCACGGGAAAAATATTGGCTTTGAAGATTTCACGCCAAAATTCAGTGACGCCGTTGCCTACATCCATCTTACAGAAATTTCGAAAGTCTTTCAATCCAATAATATGGGTACAGGCCTCTCGCATGCTGTCTATGTTGAGATTTGATCGAGGAAAATAATACCTATATTGACGTTTTTTACAATCAAACCTGGAACCAAGAAGAATCATTTCTGATTTAATACCAACTACTGATTACAACGCGAAATAACTAGACCACCTTCATGGCTTACCATCCACTGCCAAGCATTTTTCACAAATTAGCACCAAAACTGGCGAAAATATGCAGGTGATAATTCAGCACTTAAAATTGACAATTTCATTGGTCCTGAGCTAAGATTGCTCAAATATATTAAATTAAAACTGAATTCCTTTCGCAGCATATTATTGTCACATTGTAAAAATTGAAATCTACCTACATCAGTTTTTAAGATCTTCATTAATCCAAAACTGGACACACAACACATTCTGTCTCTTTTTAATTTTAGATATAGGTTGGTGCAGCATCACAGTAGTTCAGCTGTGTAACACCCTCCATCCTTCCCTGGTCTAAGCCCGTTCCTTTATCTCTCTAACAGCAATCAACATTTGCTTCTTTATTTTGTGATATATAGCTTATTCTTTGACGCCCTCTACCCACAACATATTATGTAACAATAAACACAGACATTTGTCAGATTGCAAGGCCCCGATTCCCTGGGTCTGTGGCTGCATTATAATTTACTGCATTTATAAAAACTCAACTCTACAAATTAAATTCTATGTAATGTGAAAAAAAGTAAAAAGTAAAGTAAAGTAACAGCCTATACATGTCCCACTGCTGGGCAAAGGCTTCCTCTGTACAGAGGGTATCAGGGCATAGTCCACCACGCGGCCCCACTGCGGATTGGCGGACTTCACATATTTTCGAAACACATTTTTTTTTTGTTATTATTTCGAAAATATGCAGGTTTCCTCACGATGTTTTCCTTCACCGCTGAGCACGTGATAATTCAGCACTTAAAATTGACAATTTCATTGGTGCTGGCACCGGGATCGAACTCAGGTTGCTCGAGTATATATTGAATTAAAGGCGAGCGCCCGGACACTGAGCTATCATGGCTCTGTGAAAATAAAAAATATTTATTCCTATGACCTCCTACACAGAATATTAACTACCCAGTACTTTTTATTTATAGGATCCATAAGATTCTTTTGTTACCTGGCACTGAACTCGGGTTTATCATCTGGTATTGGCATCCATGCTACTGCGTAAATATACTTTGGCAAAATACGATTAAGAATCCTGCAATATTGCATTTCTGTTTCTATTGAATCAGTCAAGTTCTGTTGAGATGGTGGGTACTTGCTTCGCAGTGAAATTGAGATAACCTTTAAAAATAATTTTGGTATATTGATTAATTTTTCCTATTCTCAACACAAACATACATCTGTCATCCAGAGTTCTAATTGCCATGATCCTTGCACAAATATTGTAAGTCTCTCTTCTCTTCCTCAATCTATTCCCAATCTGTTTGATATGTGTATCAACATAAAACATTTATTATAAAAATAACTTTGTTAATGTATCAAAATATATTGACATAATATAGTATTTTCTCATCTTTACTTTTTTTTTATACAGTGTGTTGTTACAACAGCGACAATAAATGAACACACATATAGAGGATAACTTTTTAAAATTGTTAAGCATTTACATTCTTTTAACATCAATTTTTATCGACTTATAAAATTTTACAAAACAAACATTTTTAGAACACCCTTATGTATAAAACTGTAACGTAAAGTTCATTTGTAAAGGTCACAAAGCACATGAATGTGTAGAATGAATTTAAAATAGATAAAACATATTAAAAGGAGACTTTTTTTTTTAGTTTTAAAATATATTTTTTTTATTATTGATTTTTTTAATGTTTTATATTTTTTTATGATTATTGCCAAGTAAGGTTAGACATGTGTTCATTTATTGTTGCGGTTGTAACAACACGCTGTATAAACATTACCCTTACTTTAGGAACATCTTCCTGTGTTGTAAGGGCATTTTACATGAATGGATTTCAAGTGGACAAGCACCCAGATCCATAACAGCTATCTGTGTTTAAACCCACTGGCGCTGAAGCCACAAAGTCATCATACTTACATATATCAGTTTGTTGTTGATACATTTTCTGAAATTGTAGTCTTTTATTATACATACCTGGCTGAATGCACTAACACCTTTATCTGTCCTTCCACATCGGTGGTATTGGGATGTTTCACGATTTCTAATTAAGCATGATTTCATCAAAGCATGAAATAAGTGATGTTCAATTGTTTCTGTAGTATCTTCTTGCACTGCCAACCCTTGATAGTCCCAACCAAAGTACATAATTTTTAAGAGCACTCTACGATAGTGACATCTGTAATGTATATATATAATAACTAAATAGTAATGTTTTTTTCTATTGACTCAGTCAAAAATACTAGCAAACATGAAATTTAAAGATAGCAAACTACTCCATCAGTTTTTTTAGTTGATGATCTTGAATTCAAAAGCTTATACTTAATAGTGAACATCATATATTTATAGCTCTCAAAGTCTAACAGTGGTAGGGCCACACAGCAGCCTCAGCTGTAGCCTGAATGGGCAGGCTCGTCCGGGTAAGTACCACGACCTCACAGAAGACCGGCATAAAGTGGAAGTATAATACTTTCGCATTTCATCTGGTGAGTGAGGTGGCCGGAGCCCAATTTTCAAAAGGTTGTCAACGCATATGAAACCCTCGGGTGTAGCAGATGTCCATGGGTGGCAGTATTCACTTAACATCAGGTGAATTGTCTGCTCACTTGACAACTTTTCACATAAAAAAAAAGTCTTATAACATTATAAGACGGTTTACTCACAGCCTAAATTCTATTTATTTTAAAGTGGGCAAGTACACAGTTCCCATTGTTGTTAAGTGAGTTAAACAGTGCTGCTTACCTATATTGTAGAATATTAATAACTTACTTATTGAAATCAAATTTATTTTGGTTTACTTCTGAAGAACATTGTAAATCGTTGGTCATCTTCTTACTTATAATATTTTTTAATTGTATGTTATGAGCCTGTAATTGGATAAATTTTTCAACTAAATCCTGAAAAGAATTAGAGTAAGGTTAAGTAATGTGACCCGAATCTTTATTTTTTTTTTTTTTTCATGAAAGGGAAAAAACAAACATTTTTATCCATGTTAACAAGCTCTTCTCGACTAATATTGTTTTGTTTCTTCCGTTTTGTAGCTAATTGGTTCATTTTTGACAACAACTATTTTTGAAAACTTTTAGTGCAAGTTTTAGTTGTAGTTTTAAGTATTTCAATGATCCCAAACTGTAATAGTTTCACAATTCAGTTTGATTGACCCATAGTTGATGCATATTTTAAACCAGTATATAATGTGTCTTAACTATGTTATAGTATTATACGATTGATTGACCGTTTGTCACTCTTCGTATCGTACACTACACTAATAAGTACTACTTTTGACGGAGCTGAAAGCTGTGAGCTCAGTGTTACCAACTGTTGAAAAAAAAACTCCTAAAGAAAATTCAAAAAACTCCTAAAATCCACTGTTTTCAAAAAAAAACTTCCTAAATGAAAAAAGTCTCCGTCAGTCGTCAGTAAAATTATCTAACAAAGTAGAATAATTATCGGAAAAAATAATTATCTGGATAATCAAAACTCTTTTCTTTAAAACTTAATTTAATTAATGTACTTGACCTTTAACATTGTTCATTGACTTTAAAAATATTTATACAAATTACATACATTTTATTGTAACGTTAAAATCATTTTCACAATTTTTAAGAATCAGACAATAAATAAGATCTAAATTGAACATACTTTTAAATTCATTGTCTTTTTCCCACTTAGCTGCATATTTTTGAACATATCCGATGGCAATTTTCTCACCCTTTGGCATTTTATATTACTTATTAAATGAATTTAATATGAGTAAACGTATATTCACAATAAGAGTTTATGGCGGAACAATTTAAAATACTACATAGGCCAATGCAGCCAACACTTGTCACTGTTATATATAATATACAATGCTGCCGATACTATTGTATTTTGTGTTTAAAAATGTGTAGTTTTTTTTATGCGAATAAAATTTTATTCCTAAAAATATTCCCAAGAAATTTCTCCTCCTAAAAAACTTCCATTGTACATTTTTTTTTCTTCCTAAATTTAGGAAGAAAACTCCTAAGTTGGCATCCGTGTGTGAGTTGTGCTGTAGAAGGGCTGGATTTAGGTGCGGTAAAAAAGATAGTACAAAAAATTTAAAAACATAGTATTTGACAAAAAAAATTCAAAAAATTAAAGTACACTATTATTTTCTTAATTAAAAGTAAAGTAAAAGTAAAGTAAGAGCCAATACATGTCCCACAGCTGGGCAAAGGCCTCCTCTGTACAGAGGGTATCAGGGCATAGTCCACCACGCGGCCCCATTGCGGATTGGCGGACTTCACATATTTTCGAAATATATATTTTTTTGTTATTATTTCGAAAATATGCAGGTTTCCTCACGATGTTTTCCTTCACCGCGGAACACGTGATAAGTCAGCACTTAAAGTTAAAAACTTCGTTGGTGCCGGCACCGGGGATCGAAATCAGGTTGCTCGAGTATATTGAACTAAAGGCGAGCGCCCGGACACTGAGCTATCACGGCTCGTATTATTTATTTTCTTAATTAAAGCACAAAAATTTAATTTATTTATTCAAATACTCGCAGAAGATTGATATCAGTTTGAATGGTAAACGACAACACCTTATCAATAAATAATTAATAAAAAGAAATATTGAACCGAATTGTGAATTTGAATTTTTTTTATGCGAAAAGTTGTCAAACGAACAGACGGTTCACCTGATGTTCAGTGACTACCGCCGCCCATGGACATCTGCCACACCCGAGGGTCACAGATGTGTTGACGACCTTTTGAAAATTGGGCTCCGGCTTCCACACTCACCAGACGAAACGTAAAAGTATTTGTCATACTTCCACTTTACGCTGGACTTCTGTGAGGTCGTGGTACTTTATAATAATAAGTACTATCCGGAGGCCGTGCTTGAAAATGACCGCGCCAGGCTCTATTGGGACCGGCCCATCATCACGGACAGGACAGTTCTAGCGAAAAAACCTGATATCGTGTTGTTGGACCGGGCACAGTCACGGGTATTTTTGGTTGACATTACCATTCCATATGACAAGAACCTCGTGAAAGCCGAAACATATAAGAAAATAATTATTAATATTATGTTTAACATACAAAATATTACAATAAATATATTGAGACGCTACAGTGAGTACCTATATAAATCTCTTTAAAAAGATCTCTGAGTGTATTCCGGGCTCCGATGTTATAGATTGCTCGGACAGCTCTTTTTTGAAGAATAAATATTGAATTTATATCAGATGCACTACCCCACAACAAAATGCCGTACGACAAGATGCTGTGAAAATAACTGAAGTAAACAAGTCTGGGGGAGGCCTATGTTCAGCAGTGGACTCAAACAGGCTGAAATGATGGTGATGATGATGAAACAAGTCTGGCAGTGACGATGTCTGATAGCTGCCTAACCTTCCTAATTGCAAAAACAGCGGAGCTTAACCTATTCGCAAGAGATGATAGATGAGGACTTCATTGGAGCTTTGAATCTACTGTGAATCCCAAGAATACAGCGGACTCAACAGGATTAAGAATTACGCTATTTAATTTTAAGCTAAAACTTTGCCTTCTTACGCTGGGAAGGACGAAAAGAAGGCATTTAGTTTTTTTAGCATTTAACACCGTATTATTAATGGTAAACCAGTGGATACGCGAAAGTGCACTATTCACGTCGTCATAATTCGATACATTTCGGTCAACCTTAAAAATGAGCGATGTGTCGTCAGCAAACAGTACAACATCACATAACTCACTGGCATAACTTACCCGGTCGGGCCTGCCCATTCGTGCAACAGCCGAGGTTGCTGCGTGGCCCTACCACCTTAAAGTCGTCATGTTACTATGAGAATTAAGCTATTAAGAAACTAGACAATATAAATATAATACTACTAAGTGTCCTACGAATAGGATATGCCATTTCTACATATGAAAGCTTTTTGTTTAGTTTATTCATGTCATTGGATTGACACGTAACCTATTTATATATTTTTTCGAATCCACCTGAAGACACAAAAAATACGGTTATTAATCTAATCGCCCAGCCGTTAAGGAGTTCAGTAACATACACACGTACAGAAAAATTATATATATACAGATAATAATAATAATAGACAATGATAAAACAACTTTGTATTTGTTGGGTATCATTACAACGTGATAACAACTCAATGAACTTCTTGTTGGAACCCTACGGTAGTGATCTTTTTTTTTCGTGGGGGAATCCGTTATGGGTACCTGGCCTCCCACATACGGGGAAGCAAGGTGATGTCGGACTCGCACCGACGAAAACCCCACGGAGATCTCCAGCTGTCATGTGCGGTCACGGGATCTCCATTTAGAACACTACCGCGGCCCCCCTTAGCTTGGCTTGAATAGCTTCGTCCCGGCAACATCACTTCACTGCACCCACCCCTATGGTGCAACCACTATGAATTACCATCATCGCCCTTAGGTTCGTTAATTGAGGCCTAGTTGCCCGGGATCCTTGAGGTCCCGTTTCCGGTAGGGAAACAACATTTATATTTTGAGGACCGTTACGAGGTACACCCTCGCCTCGGTGACCCCGTCTCCGAAGGGGATTTGTCCTCTCTCGACCCCTCTCAGCAGCCTCTTTTTTGACCATCACGGTCTCGCAGGAAGAGGTTACGGCCCTCCACGCTGCATCTCCACTCAACATCGCCGACATGACTACTGACAAAGAGAGGTTTCGTCCAATATGGGTTACCAGGACATTCCGCTCCGTCTCCTGAGCAGGGCACACCATAAGGGTATGATTCGCAGAGTCCTGGTAACTTCCATCGCAGTGAAAGCAATTCGCCGTCACCTCTGTCCCTGGTAACTTCCATCGCAGTGAAAGCAATTCGCCGTCATCAATTCTGTTTGTGGATTAATTCATTAGTGATTTTCTCTATCGTTTAAAATTTATTTTAATTGAATTACGCAAAAGTTAAAGTTATTTACATTTACATTTGCCATATATTGAGGTATTGGTAATATTGGTAATATAAAGCATCCTTCTTCCAATAACAAATCCTTGTTAGCAAGCTACACCAATGAATTTTCGCATTTCCATGGTGGTTACATTTTTCCAGCGCTTTATGCAAGCATTATCTATCGAAACAGGATTTTCCAGCTATTGTAAGGCATACAAGTTAGATTCATAATTATCTTTTATTTAGAGAAGGTAAGGTTATCTGTCAAACGTTCGTATGCTCGGTAATCAGGTGGTCATAGTAAATCCTTTTTACCCACATAACGCAAGATTTTTAAAAATTTTCACCTCCACGTCCATGACACACGAATGTGTCACTAAATTATTAGCTTTTACCAAAGAGAATGTAATCACTATGTTGGCTTTTACGTCCGTAACATATATGTGGGTCATCGTCAAAATGGGGATTACAGGGTACCCCATCAATTTTTATACTTTGATTGACTTAAAGCAAAATGATATCACCACAACTTTTTCTCCGTTATGATATTGATATTCGCTTCATCACTTTCTAACGCATGGTTGCTATAGTGGCGAAAAGAGATGGAGCGAATAAAATACCGTTAGGCTAGTTTTAGCGATTATAATTTCATACCGATAACAAACTTTAACGAAGATCTAGTTTGATTTATTTACTGTACTTAAGATGAAAAATTATCAATGCTCGCAAAAAAATAGAAAGAACAAATTAAATTGGATTACTTAATCTCTCGGGGAAATTACCCATTTATTTTCTCGGAACACATATAGGTACATCTGTTTTATGGTTTTGTCATTTGTGTTTCGAGGGTATTCATTTTAAATTTCAAAAATATAATAAATCAACCAGTTAAATAGTGTCTTACTCGTGATATGTTATTCCTTGACACTTTCTGGGACACACACACATTTATTTTTACACAATTTCAGAACTCAAGATGGTATTATTTTATATTTAAAGTTTGTCATAAACAGCGTAATGGCGGCTATCGGCGTAGTATGATGAAAATGTGTGCGCGTGGCATGTATGTACAAGCGGTGGGGTTTACTTACTATCTTGTATCTTGTATTAACTGATGTTTATGCTTTCAGTCCCGAGACTATTAAAGCTTCATCTGACGCAGAACCGGTGGGCCAGCCAGAACCCACGGGTTTGGGCTCTCCGCTGTGGGTAGGGCCACGCACGTGTTCATGCGTGCGTTTAAGTATGGTGTGTCATCTAAGGGCCATCAAGGTCGTGGTTTGGACCGAAACCCCGATGGCCGTCGACTGTGGAATTAGCTAATCGGTGGCTGGGAGCGGTGAGAACCGCCCCGGAACGCGGGTGTACCTTGTGTACGCTTTGTGTTGGTCTCGCCGTGCTCGGAGGCGAGGGCGAACTAGTATGTTTGTTGTTGCACTAATTGAGGGTGTAGTGTTATCCGGCGGAACCCCCGGCGGTGGGTCCGACGTATCTAAGTCCCCTTCCTCGACCGGGTCGATGAGGACGTTTCGCGGGCGACGCTTGTTGACGTTCGCGTTTGTGTCGGGTTGGTAATTTGCTGCCCTTACCACCAGAGGGTTGGGATGATGTTCGGCTCTAACGAAGAACCGTTTGGTCAGGTCTTTAAAATGTTCGCGAATCGTCGGGAATCTGCAATCGCTATGCAGGTCGACGTTGCGTTGATACCACTGCGCACCGGTTGCGCGGCGGATGAACTTATTTGTACTATTTGCAACTTGTACAAGCGAGTAGGGTGCGTGTGGGCGAAGGTCATGCATGCGTAGGACATAATAGGTCGTACGCAGGTCTTTTAGAATAATAATTTGTGTCTTAAGGGTATTTTACTTTTAGCGTTAGTTAAATTGTTTACTTACTACGCCTCAGTGTCGATATACGTGGCGCGGACTTCTGTTATTTTTTAAGTCCGTGGTAGGTACTAATCTTAGGCCACCATCTAGTCGTTTAGGTTTGGTGTCAATCGTGTCTAGAGGTTGTATTCTGTTCCGTGTTTAGATTTGTTTATAAAGTAAATAATGGTCATCATTATGCTGAGAGTGATAATTTATGGTAAAATGGCTATACTTTTTTACAGGACTTGTTTGTTATAATAACGATCGAAAATAAAAATGGACAGATTATGACTTCTCTGATTTATTACAATTGTCACCGTACAATATCAATATCATGTAAAAAAATTATTACATAAACTAGACTGTTGAATAGGAATTACAAAATTACCTACTGTTTACAGAAATAAGACATCAAAAACATTTTGTCGTCGGGTCAGAAGTAAACTTAAAAATCTACAAATGTCTAATTGTGGAGGAGGTGGGTTTTAATATAAAAAGTCAGGGTTTTAATGGAGTCTGTTCAAGTTATTGAAATAGTAACGCTTAGATAAGTCTCTTATAGTACATTATATTAAAATAACGAATTTATTCCTTGTGATGAAGCTATATAGCATATTGGTAAATTTACTATGGTATTAAAAGAGTTAAAGAAATGACACAGTACGAAAGTTTCTCATGTGGTAGGTTGGTAAGTAATCTATTGTACTACAAACTCCATCACACGTTTATTTATTGCAAGCTAGCTAAACTAAAAATTATTAATATTTATTATTAATCATTGTGCCTTTCCAGTTTGAGTTTCTTTTGAGCCAAGGTAAAGATTCAACCTGCCACGTAGACTAGTTGGTCATGTGGCTTTTTGTGATTTTAATTATTTTCGGTAAATGTAAATAACTCTAACTCCGACGTAATTCAATTAAAATAAATTTTAAACGATAGAGAAAAATCTCTAATGAATTAATCAACAAGCAGAATTTGGCGGTCGCTTATAGTTTTCGAGAAAAAAAAATATTTAAAACTTGTTTTTTGTACTAAGAAATCCACCATTTTATTCGTTTGACTTCAAAAGTTCTTTACACAGTTCTGCCAACATGATAAATATAGGAAGCGGGCGACATCATACACGTATCGATATTCCGATTTAATGAGTCGAGGAATTCATAGCGGTTAGAAGGTTAGCGGTTTTTTTTAGGTTTTTTTTTATGACCACCAAACCAAGAAATACGAGCTGAATTGACATATTGACAACAAAAAAATGGCGGATTTCTATAGTAAAAATCACACTATTTCATTATTTATTTTTTCGAAAACTATAAGCGACCGCCAAATTCTGCTTGTTGATAAATTCATAAGTGAGTTTTCTCTATCGTTTAAAATTTATTTGATTTGAATTACGCCGGAGTTAAAGTTATTTACATTTACCTTATTTTCTGACAGCAAAGTATTTTATCTACGCAGACAGACTTGTTGTTGATTGTGGTTTTTGTGAGTTTATTAATAATATGCACTACAGTTAATTCAATCTGCCACTTTGACTAGTTGAACATTATGATAAATCACATATAAAACTCTAGAGATAACTTAAGTGCTTTTTAAGCCACAGAATCAATATTTTGCGACAGAGTGTACAGCAAGGGAGCATAAATGTCAGTACACTTACATGTCAAAACTACCAAAATGTTAGATTGGCGAATTTACTATTTTACCAACGTTATTATCAATGACGAAAATGTAATGGAGCGCGTAGGTATAGTTTAAATTCCTGTCGTTTTGAAAAGTATTCCCAAAATGGTGCGTATGCCTAGAAACGCTAAAAATACAATTCTTCCGATCACATACAAATATAATGCAAGGATAGTGTAATTAGCTACACATAATATCTTCTGCTTCGTGTTCCCATATCTCGTATCTTTCAGTTCGTCTTTGATAATATATTTCCTCAAACCAATCCACCATACTTTCATAACTTCTATCCAGTCCACTGTCGCGATGTCAAAATTAAATATGACCTGGTCTGCTTTCGACATCCGCTTGTACAATCTATGGGTATTGTCGTCGCTGAATTGCCAATCGTGAAGAGTAAAATAACTTAGTACCGCGGTCAGTTTGTACATCTTTTTGTACAATTTAACGAACCTGTAAAGTCAAAGGTACACTTAAAATGTCTTGTCCATGGCCAGGTGAAGGCCCGTGGTTATCAATCCTTATGTTACGAATAACCCTCGGATTAATTTCCAACACAAAAACGTATTTGAAATAAAATATATCAGTGCCCGTAATTGTCGTTTTTTCTAATATAAAGTACAAATATGGCCGGGAAAATAAAGCAATTTAAATTCATGCCATCATTTCACTTCTGATCTGATGTATTTAATAATAAACTATAAATGAAGGCCAATGAAGCTTTGATCACTTTGTAAATATTCATTTAATTAGATGTTACTTTTTGCTCGAAAAACGTCATTAATGGCCTACTGGCTATTAACGATGTGTACGTTACTGTTTCCTGAGACGCGGCAAAGGCGTTCACTCCGTTGTAACTCCTGTGCTGTATGTGTCCTCAAATACGACTTAGGCCTCGAATCGAAATTGAACGACGATATAAGGGCGAAATTGTAAATTAATCGAGTGTCTATAGAGGGGTGATAGCGCTCGTTTTGAATTCAATATCCTCAGCCACCTAAGTGGCTGGTTCATCCCCGGTAGCTGCATCAATGACATTGTTTATTTTAAGTGCTTACTTATCACATGCTCAGTGGTGAAGGAAAGTATCGCGAGGAAACCTGCATATTTTGGAAATAATAACAAATTTTTAATACCCTCTGTACATTATGTAGAGAGGAGGCCTCTGCACAGCAGTAGGACATAATATTGCATAATAGGCTGTTATTTTACAAAACGCAGTGTTCATTTTACAAATTACAATCGTATTCTAAACTAAAATGTTTGTTACCCATGTACTCTTTTATAAGTACTGTTTCCTGCAACTTGTCTTTTCTTTTAAGATTAAATTACAATATTAACATAAGTTATAACTTTGTTACTAAAATTGACTTTAGTAATACTTATTTAACGGTACTTTATTAATATTAAATTATATAATTGACTTTATTTGGGAATTTCGGTGACTCAATAATAAGACAATCATTTTATTATCAATATGTCAATGAAACCAAATAACCGTTAATTAAGAGCTAATTGAAATATCCAGGTGGGTCCTTTATTCAGGGCAGATTTAAATTCGGTGTTAATTTTTATGGCATGAATAGAATATAAAAGCATGATATATGGTTTTTAAGAATTCAACAAGCTTTAAACTCAATACCTTCTCTCCTTTCCTAATAATGAACATAAACCATCGACTAGGTATGCAGGAACAAAGTGAAACAGCAAAGTTAGCAGCCAAAACATAAATGGCCTATTCGTTTCCGTTGATTCGCAATACCATAGAGCTTTTGGCGTTGCCAGAGTATATCTGTGTGTTCTCATTATAGCACCAATATTTCCTGGAAGAAATGTATTTTGTATCATATGTATCGTATAATTTGTTCTTCTGGCAGATTTATACGGATTAATTAAGTAATTTTTAGTTATAAAAAGTACGTGTATACTTAAGTCCGTACGTAAGAAGTAACAAAAATTTTATTCCCTGTGCCAGTACCCTTTGTTTGTGAAAACGACATTGCACGATATTGCAATTAATTTTAATTCAACACCTTGGAATTATAGGTAAAAGTCAAATAGATGTTCTTGGTTGTCTTGGTGATACCGTGAAGTTGGTCGCTTCGCTCTGCATTCAACTTCATCATGGCTTTTTGGCTTTGGATGAAGTATAACTTCAATATTTTCGTCTTCCGTTATGGTGCCATTGGACCAAAAAGACTTAACTAGATTAAAGATTAAAGTGTTATGACTATTTTACCAACCCGATGCCAGTAAAGACTACAAAAGCTTGATACAAAAGTTATTCAAATTTAATTTAATACATTAGCAGCAGACCCCTTAACATCATCAGTGTCAGCACTTTACCACTAATGTCTTCAAATTACTCTAGTCACTACCAATAAGAAGGCGATCTCCTCAGAAACGTCCTTTTCCAAGCGGGCAGGTTGAGACTAATATATAATTACTTTGGTAAAAGAAATACACCATAATAATGATCAGCATCAAATATACGAGTATGTATAAGAGCCTTACGTCGTCTTTAATAGTAACTTTAAAGAGCAAATGGCAGTAATCTATTATTAAAACATACCCCATGTAACTGGTTTCCTCATGTTGCTGACTGTATATATCTCAATTTTCTTTTCCTCCGTCGTTGGTTTATTACCAGTTTCCCAACCAGCTGCTATAATGGCATTAGTAACCAAATCAGCGGGCGTGAAGCAAATCCTCACTTTTTTGTTTGCAAATAGTGTTTTTATTACACCCATTCCCAAACCTAATATCATCTGGAATCACATATATAGAGACACACAATTTCTTAAAAGTTAATCTTTCTTAAAAAAATTATCACAGATCATAGAGTGTTTCAATTTCAATATGTTACTTATCGCAAATGTGCTTGTAATTTTTGTAACCTAAGAGTTTAAAGATGTTGATATTCATTTGTTTTCTCGTCTGGTTGGGTTTATAAATAAAAATAAAAATATAGATACATATTGCATATATAAAATAAATATTATGAATAAAAATAAACATATACATATAATGTTGTATATAATAATAAGAGTTTAAAGATTATTATTATTATAAGGGGATATTCATTTGTTTTCTCGTCTGGTTGGGTTTATAAATAAAAATAAAAATATAGATATATATTGCATATATAAAATAAATATTATGGTTTGCAAAATAAACGTTTGCCCGGGTATAGATCAAAAAATTAACAACTATTAAAACATGATATAAATTACTATATTATGGCTTTACAATATTGATTTTTCTTGATTTTACGCGAATAAGCCCGCCCCTTTTAAGTAGATCGGAATAAAAATAAATAACAAAATAATTTACGGTATAACTTTGCCCGTTTGCAACGTTTGCTTAACGTTTGCCCGGGTTAACTTTGACATCAAAAAATGTAACAACTCACGCCCGGTTTCTAAAACACTGATCATCGTAGAAATTAACTAATCAGCTGTCAAATGGCTTCTCAAATGTCATTTGAGTTGTCAAAAGGATGATTGATAGTGGTTAAAGGCCATGATCAGAAATGGTTAGACTCAATTCCAAGAGTTTATATCCTTTTGGCAACTCAAATGACATTTGAGAAGCTATTTGACAGCTGATTAGTTAATTTCTACGATAATCAGTGTTTCAGGTACCGGGGGTTAGTGTTTCCCGTGACCATGAACAAAACATGTTTCATTTTACAACTGTTTGGAATATTGTAAATAGAACAGCGATGGGTTAGGCATTTTATTAATGGATTATTCCCCAATCGCTAGGACATCGGTGGTTCCTAAACTTTTAAGGCGTGGAACACTCACAAAATAACTTTATTTTTATGAAACCCAACATAGCGCTATTACTTATAAGAAGATTAGAAATATACTGCAATACAGATAAGAAATTTTATGGAAAATATTGCAAAAGTGAAAAACTTTCGACCTTCACTTCTACTACTATTAATTTGCAGAATGAAATTGTTGCCTCTTTTTTTTTCTTTAATTTGTAATTATGATTGTGACAAGTGGCGGATATTGACTGCCTATTTCCTCATCGTCATACACAATACGCGGAATATGAACAATCGCGGCTGGATTGGAGGATTTTTCAAGTAATTAACATACAGAGCAACGAGAAAATAATGCATTTTTTTTGTCGCAAGATATATAGAAATACAGAAAAGCTTATATGAGACAATTAATTATTATGAGTCAATTTAATAGCATGTATTATTATTAAATTTTATAAGTGAACTCGTAAACTTTAAGATTTTCGCTTTATAAATAATTATAATTTAAGTAAAATGTACTAGTACTTGCTTAATGTATTATATTTAAGAAAATATTATATAAAACGAGGAATTATTATTGGGGATAATAAAGAAGAATTACTTACACCACTGGGTCCATAAACGTTACTAATGTCAACCCAGCCTGGTGCCGGCTCCACGTAAGTAGGAACCACTAGAATAACGGTTATTTTAATATAATATAAATATTTGTTAAATATGTTTAGTACTTAATATGAGACAGGTCAACAAAGCAATTGAATTTCGAAGAATTATTACGAAATTTAATTTTGTAATAGAATTTTTTTTTATTTTATTTGCTTTATTGTAAAACAGACTGGACCTTCGAAAAATTATTATCTCTCTAACATGCCATACTACACATATTTAAACGAATGAGCCAGCCTATTCATGAACAGATGCTGTTGAATAGCTCCAGAAAAAATACGAAAAGATTGTCGCCGCTGTGGGAATCAAACCCACGTCTTCGGCATTCGCGGCCTGACGCTTTAGCGTCATTATCTTTTATATCTTTTTCTACAAACTACTTTTTCTACAAATTTTAACTTTAAATTGAGCTTAGATTAAAACCCATATTCAATGGAATCTCACAGGTTTCTCCAACAGGTCTAGAGTCGTGAATTCTGACTTGAAAAATCATTCCCCAGTTTTTATATGAGTTCAGCCTGGCATGGGGTAGACTAGGTCGCCTATTCTCATTATATAAGAAATTAGGTAATATAACTTTGTCTGATTGTTTTTTTCATGTAGATTGCTATTTCTAGTACTAATAAGAGATTTTGATTAATTGAATTTTTTTTTTCAATATTTAGGTGCTTTAAATATTTAAGTCACGTTTCAGTATTGGACCTAACCATCCTTTTGGCAACTCAAATGACATTTGAAAAGCCATTTGACAGCTGATTTGTTAACTTCTACGATTCACACGATCAGTGTTTCAGAAACCGGCCGTAAAACTATCATGGCGAGATTGAAATCAAACTCGTAACTTGCTGCATTTCCTCAATGCATGGCTATTATAACTTGTTTAAAAGCGGCCGTAATAAATCAAACATATTAATTTACCTATTGCTGGTCTCACCACACATATGGGTAAGTCTTCGGAGAGCGTACGGACGGCTTCTTCGGCTATCGCTTTCGAAAACGTGTACGTATTCGGCCATCCCTTTACCAATCTGAATATGACACAAAACAAACGGGCTTAAGTAGATAGTCCAATGGCGAAGATTTAAATCGCTATTTTTATAGAACACGTCATTTTTTTTAACGCAATCAATGATGATATATTAATTTTGAGGTCTGCTTGTCATTGTTCTGACATTTTTCATAAGTTCATAACATGGACCATGGCGTCCTCGACGAAAATCTTTCCGTACTACATCTTTTGTGCGTGCATGCATCTTCGAAAATATCTGACGACCGGAACCAATGTCTCCCGTTTTATTTCAATAGGAAATCCATTTCAAATCTCCATTTTGAAAACGAAACATTTTCTTCCTTATGGGACATTTTATTGGAGTCGAAGAAAATAAGATAAAATGCACTGATTTAAATTAACAACATTTTACATACGTGTAGTTCGTCGTTCCGTTAAATGTCTAATTAATATTAAACATTTGCGTCACACATCAAATACATGGTAAACAACAATGACAATGACATCAATTAACTGTAAATTAAATATCTTTAGACTTGATACTTATACGTAAGTACGTACATAATGTATTTAATTAATAAAATTAATGCTGGTCATTGCTGTAAATGCTTTAAATTTTCCACCATTCCTTTTTAGTCAACTTCGGTATCGTAAGTCGTAATGTGTCGTAACGTGCGACCCTAACCATTTTGATGAGTAAAAAAAACTAAATTGTAGTCATCTTTTATGTACTAGCTTAAGGATGCGTTATAGGTTGCTTATGGCCTACATAATTTACTATCGACGTGGTCCAATTAAAAAAGATTACTTATGCCATGCTTAAACATAGTTAAACCAGATGGATATTTGGAGTATAGAATGGTCCAGAAATATTTTTTAAATTATAAACAAATCACTCACGCAGGAGTTAATTGGTTAAGTTTTTCCGATGAAAATGCCTCAGCCATCTCTAGAATGGCATCCGGGTCCGCTGGACTAGTTTGAAACTCCTCCAGAATAAGTCCGCCGAACCTATCTTTGGTTGCGAACGTGTATGCAGTAGATACGTGTACATAAGCCCGGAGATTTGTGCAAGCCTTGCCCAATGTTAGCATCTCTCGTGTACCTCCCACGTTGGAGATGATCGCTTCCTTCAACTCGACGTCGAATCTAACGTTCGCCGCAATGTGAAATATCATGTCAACCTACCAAAGAAAATTATGAAAAAAGTAAAATTCTTAAAATATTTTCTTATAAATTTTTATTATTTGATACAATGTTAGCATTATGTGTGACATAATGAGTATGAAATATTTAAATTTGAATGTTTTCGCTGCCCATATAAAACTAAATAAGTACCTAATCTATAAAATAAACTGTTTAAGAACCTTTAACCTAACCGAAGTGATAAAGTGAGTATAGAGAATTTGATATCTGCTAGACAAACTGATTGTAGTAGATTTGCAATGAATAGTATATTTGGCCAAATGCCGAATACCGAATATTCTGGGGACGTATTGTATAAAAAAGTACATATCGTAAATCAGAAAGCATGAAAGTGAAATTTTCGAACTGGGTATTAATTACCTCAAAACGAAGATTATGGCCTTAAAAAGATATCGCCTATTTTTTTGTTCATTTATGTAAAAAAAAATCATCGTTTTAGTTTACTAAAACAAACTATCTTACTTAAATAATCGATATTCGACCTAATGTTATGAAAGTAGCCGAATGGAATGAATATTCGCTCGTAGTTCCTAGTGTACACATCACAAAGGGGATTTAAGCTAGCAGTTTTGATAAAAAAACTTTCAAAAAGCATACATTTAGAAATCACGAGATCCGTTGACTTAGATATACCTAGCAATATTTACTTGGAGCATTAATTGATTTATCTTGACTGTGGTAGGGCCACGCAACAGTTCGCTGTTGCACAAATGGGCAGGTCCATCCGGGGAAGTACCACGACCTCACAGAAGACCGGCGTGAGTTGGAAGTGTAATACTTCTGCGTTTCGTCGGTTGAGTGAGGTAGCCGGAGCCCATTTTATTAAAAGCGTCAATGCATCTACAAACCTACGGATGTTGCAAATGTCCATGGGCGGCGATTATCACTTAACATCAGGTGACCCAGCTCGCTTGCCACCTTCTCACAGAAAATAAATCTTCCTCTTTAACGTGCAGTTAACTGAACTGTTAAAAAAACTTTTCTATTTTTTTTAAATACTGAATCAAGGAATAAATGTATAATAAAAAAATAACAATACCTCATTCACAATCGTATTCCAATCATTATCGCTAAGGCCCAGTCTCTTCACGGTGATGTCTCCTTCCACAGTTATTATCTTTTTCGGGAAATTAGGCAGCTCCTCATGCAAAGACTGGAATGCCTAGAAATATCATGTCCATATTAATTAACAGCATTTAGTAAAAACATTAAGTATTACGAATAATGAGATTTTAAAACTTACTGGATCTTTTAAAATTTCTAATAGCCTGTCTTGCGCATTTACATTTTTCTTTGGACGAATGAGCATATAAATGTTTTTAATGTCGCATGTTCTGAAATTAAAGTTAATTTAAGAATTTAATTAATTTCCATTAGTGTTTTAAATATATATGTGTCTATAAAAATCAACTTAGTTTTTAAGTTGTATGCGAGGAGATATAATTTATTTTTAGCATCTAGAATCTTCCCGTGTAGAACATAATTCCCCTTTTTAAAGTAGGATCTAATATGTCCTACGCATGTTTCAATAACACAACTACAGGATTTACGGAACGATGTGATTGAGTGAAATTTGATCACTAACTTTACGGATTGAGACTATTTTTCTAATTTGAAAAGGTGTTAAGTAATTTTCCATGTATTAAATTTGGGATTTTCGGGTTGCAGATGTGTTGCCAGTCACCAGACAAAACGTGAACGTGAACTTCCATTTCACGCTGGTCTTCTGTGAAGATGTCGCATTTCCCCGGTTGACCCACCCATTAGTTCTGTAGCAGCTACGTGGCCCTGCCACAAGTAAAAGACCGGCAACGTCCAAGATCATAAACATCTACCGTCCATTATACCATGTATATACAAGTCACGGGCAACAAATGAATGCAAATGGCAATGTGTCAATCGTTGTGGCATTCTAAGGGGGAGACCTATGTTCAACAGTGGACGTCTTGAGGCTGATAAAGATGATGACTCTTCTGCTGCAAACTCTATGTAGAGAGCAAACCTACATATCAACTGACATGAAGATATCCTTGCGACATTTTTAATATCGAGTACATGCTAAATGTTTCTACATGAACGCTTTATATCTGTTCTGGCCTGATCAGCGAATGATTTTTTAGGAATTAATCGTACCTGCATATCTTTTCGATAAATAGTTTTCCAAGAAACCCGGAGCCCCCAGTAACGAAAATAGTTCTGCCTGCGTAGAACTTCTGGATTGTCGAATTACCAGGTGCCGCAGCCTTCCTAATAGGTGTCTGGCGTGCTAGTGCTCTCTGTATTACCAACTCTGGTGTATCCATCGTTGTAATAAAATGAAATGGATTCAAAAGTATTCGTAGAAGATACAAAACGTTAAACACTATTAAATTTCTTCAAGTTAAAAGCTTGAGTAGTGCGGAGTAACTCATTCCATGACACAAACCATGTAATAGGAAATTAGATGTCGAATTTATTCTTTATATGAACCCCACTTAAATAGTTAAATTGCATATTCATTCGTTGACGTTGAATAGAATGATTTTTAATGAACTTGCAGTTGAAACACCTACACAACGTATTCTATTATACTTCTAACAGAATTCTTGGATATGATTTTCTATTTTATTATTACAAGCTTTCATTTAAATTGCATGTAAGTATGTATTTTTGTCCGGGTGGAATCTTGCAACAAAATATTCAATCAGTCATCTTGGTTAAGCCGTTTCTGAGATTAGCGTAGCGTGCATAAATTCACAGGCAAACAGATAGACAAAAATTTTAAAAATCATTGTTTTGGGTTCTATTGCATTGATAAAGGCACCCAATAATATTTTTCTCAAATATCTTCCATGTGCAGAGAACGATCAGTTATACTTTTATTATATGTATACAATATATATAGATAAATGCCCGAATGCAGTCACTGATGATACATGACGTTTGTTTTTTATTTTCTCACAAAAGAAGGAACAGCTTTTCAGTTTAACACAGAACAGTTAGCAGGTTTTCATTGTCTGAAGAAAGCACGAATAAAACGACGTTTTCTAAAAATGGAACCTAGCTAGATCGATTTATTGCCCCCGAAAATCTCGCGTAGTACATCTCATGAAAATCGGTTGAGCCGTTTCCGAGACTTAGATTATATACGAAAATATATATAATATATACAACACAATCTACATCAAACAACATTAAATCTATCTAAATTACATATTATCTTATAAACCTAGTTCACGCGGCATGGTGCCAAGAACGCTAGCTGCATTTTCTCGGTGAATAGTTACGCTTAACCTTTGAGCGAGAAAAGAACCAGCTCTCTTGTCACCAGCCGCGGCGATAAGCCTAGGATGTAAACCTTTCAAAACTTTCGATGTACGGGGTCCCCATAGACCCAAAGATACAACAGCAAATACATAATCTAAAGAATACATAATCACAAATACATAATCTAAAGAAAGAGGCCTACTTCAGCTGCCTCCGATACATCGTGTCGCTGCAAAAATTGTATTGTAAGTAGCACAAATAAAAATAGGTAGCTATATCCTTTCCAGTTCCTTACTAACTTCCCAAGATTTTTCATAAACGATTTAATAGGGGTTACCGAACCCGAAAGAACGTCCGCTCGCATCGCGCTTACGGACGCTTAAAAAAACTTAAAGAATAAAGAAAAAAAAGTAAGCAAAATGGTCAACTTAAATCATGAAGAAATAATATATAAGATTATTAAAGTGTTAGGACTATTTGATGGTACGTCGAATTCCTTAATTAGATTTATTTCATTATGTGATCATTATTGTGAACGTGTAGATCGCATATTGATGAAGCGATATTGTTACTGAACAATGTCGCACAAGCCCAAATCCAACAAATACCAACCTAATGCTGAATATCGCTAGATAGATTGCATTATAAATTTTCATATAAAAAAAATTATGTAATCAGATGGTTATCACATATATCCATCCTAATATTGTCATGTACAAATAGATATTAAGTTATATAATGAAATATATACAATTGCTTTATACTATAGGTACAACTATTGAGTAGCAAAGAACGTTAGACGAAAACATTCCATTGAAAACATATTTGAAAGATTTTGAAGAGCATCTAAACTCATCTCTCATCACCATACGCTTTTACAGGAAATTGACCTAGACGTAATAAATCGACAGAGTAGCAGTTCATTAGTAATTTACAATTTACTGACATAGATATTTAAGAACTTTACTTAAGAACTTTAATTAATCGATTTTAGGCAATCTTGATAATAGCGACGCCTTAAGTTTCGAAAGTGCGTTGCGTATACTTAACAGTAACGATGGGTTAATTTCAGCTAAACTTAACCAATTTATAACTTTGTAAAAGGGATTTTCGATACAACAAATACCATCATTGAAGGGGATCAATAAACTAACACTGTGTTAGTTTATTGATCCCCTTAGGAGGCAACAAACTCTTCAAAGGCATTTTTACTCAGGAATTGAATTTTTTCCCGCTAAAAATATCCAAATTTTCAAAAAATTTATGGTCAGTACGTGCAAGTTCTGGTGAGTATGGCGGATGAGCGAGAGCTTTCAACCCCAACACTTGCAGCTTGGAGACTGCCCGTTGCAGTATAGGGTCGCGAATTGTCTAATTTTTTAAATTTTTATTGTGCTTCTTACCTCTGCACTTATTAAGAACTAAATTAGATATTAAATAATATAACTAAATTAAATATTAAATTATAATTACACTAGATTAAATATTAAAATTTGTACAAAATTTCTTAATAAAAATTTTAAATTTCTAAAAAGCAATGGCGACATCTCTTGTTCTAATTATCGTTGTAAAACGATATTCGAAATTGTTTGTATGCTGGAAAGGATATGACGATGGATTTTTTTTTGTGAAAACTTGCCAAGCGAGCAGACGGTTCACCTGATGGTAAGTGAATACCGCCGCCCATGGACATCTGCTGCACCCGACGGTTACAGAGGCGTTGACAACCTTTTGAAAATTAGGCTCCGGCTACCTCACTCACCAGACTAAACGCCAAAAGTATTATACTTCCACTTTACGCCAGTCTTCTGTGAGGTCGTGGTATTTACCCGGACGAGCCTGCCCATTCGAGCAAAAGCCGAGGCTGCTGCGTGGCCCTACCACCGTAAAAAATAATGTAGATAAAAGACGTTAAGATTTTCGTCGGTGTGGCAATCAGCCATTTAGCTTAGTGGCTAAAGCGTAAGGCCGCGAATGCCGAAGACGTGGGTTCGATTCTCACAGCGGCGACAATCTTTTCGTACTTTTTCTTAAAATTAATTGTCTTCAGTTGTTGACAGTAAACATCTTCAGTAATGCTCATGACGTTTTGTAAAAAGCTGTGTTGAATCACATCGGCATTAGACCACTAAACAGTGATAACCACCTTTCTAGGGGTAATTTTTTATTTAGGACATTGCTTTGGTGCTGAATCAGGATCTAACCAACTTGCTGAACGGTTTTGATTGTCGAATAGAATACATTTTTCGTCGCACGTAACAATTCGGTACGACATTCCTTCATTTCTCTGCCTGTTGAGCAGCATGAGGCAAGGTCTCGTTAAGTTCATGGGGCACCCATCGCCTTTAATTCATTATTGTTGAGCAAAGTGTCCGGACGACCACAGGTTTCATTTTTCAGGTCCAATCCAAAATGGAACCGCGCCAACTATGGCAAAAATTGGTTGTGCGTTCGTTTGTAAAGTTCTCTGAGTAAACGTTGTTGATGTTACGTGCCGCGTTGGTACGACGGAAGTCATATTCCATAATTACACGAATTTTTTAACAGTGTCCATTATGACGAAAAAAATGTTCAAACTTAATGAAAATACAGAGCTAATTAATTAACATAATTTTCAACAAAAAAAAACCGACTTCAAACAGTAAACTAATAAAACATTGTCAACGCCTATGACATTTGAAGATTGCCCTCGATTTCTCTGGGATGCCATCATCAGATCTGGGTTTCCTTATCATGGTACCACCCTTGGGATATCCCCTTTACAACAAAAAATAATCATCAAAATCGGTTCATAAATAACGAAGTTTTCCCCCAACACACATAAAAAAAATAAAAATATATACGGTCGAATTGAGAAACCTCCTTTTTTGAAGTCGGTTAAAAAGAGAAAGTTATTGTAAAGAGAGTTTCATGTTTTTAAAACAAAATTAATTTGTACTTAGAATTCACAGCCAATCAAAACCTTTTTTTTTTTGTTTGAAATGGACAGTACTGAAGGACGTGAATTTCATAGATGATCTTTATGGACTATCCTTCAGAATCTGTCAAAGTCAGAATCGGTCGATGCAAAACAGGTCCGCAAATGCATGTGTGTGGAGAGAGTTGCATAAAGTTTTGGAGATCTGTGGTGAAAATCCGCATAGTATTTTTGAATGAATCGTTACTGTTGGTGAAACGTTGATTTATCACTATAACCCTGAGAGCAAGAACTGCATCCATGCAGTAGCATAAAAAAGAGGACAGACCCACCAAAGCAGTTTAAAGGCTCCCGGTCCGCTGAAAAACTCATGGCCACTGTGTTTTGGGATTCTAAGAGAATCTTACTGTTTTGGTACACAAAAAAAGGTCAAAGTTTATTATTGCCGCATCTTACACAAACACCCTAAGTAATTTAAAGGAGGTAATAAGAGAAAAAGATGTGAAAAAATTACCTTATTGAAAAAATTACATTAGTAAATTATTAAGGTGTATTGCTTTCTACGACAAATCGCAGGTTCACAATGGGCGCGTTGCCAGGTTGTTGAGGCTGCTGTACAGGATTATATATATATATATATATATATATATATATATATATACATATATATATATGAAACATGCATTGAACTTGAAAACATGCATTAATAATATGTAATTAAATGAACAAACTCACACTAGTGAGTCCGCACTTTCGCACTAGTAGTCGCACTACTAAGTCTAAGTTATAAATTTTATTATTATTCAGTACATTTCCGAGGTGATAGGGCATTTGGCTAGCATGATTTAACTGATTCATGTATTTGGTTATTTGTTCTATTTAAATAAAAGTATATACGTATTAAGTAAGTAAACAGCAGCAGCATATCTTATTTATCTTATTATCCTAAATATCTTATTTTCTCTAAATATCGTGCCTATACTTCCCAGTATAATCGTGTTATGGAAAAGCTATATATACATAAATTCATTTTTTTTATAGATTCATGAACAGAAACTTTTGGCGATGCGGAATTCGAACCTGCATCCTCTGGTTTCGCATCCAGACTTTTACTAACTAAGCTAAGCGGCCCGTGACCTCACGGCGCAAAGATCTTGACACATCTATTTTCGTTCGCTCTATTTGTACGTTCTATAAAAAAATATTTAGGACACTGTTTTACACAAAGTTCTCTTGTCCCAAACTAAGCAACGCTTGTACTATGGTTTTGTAGTTAAATGATAAACATACTTAAACATACTTTTCTTTTGTAAAGTAATACATATTATACATATATGAACACCCAGACACTAGAAAAACACTATTTTCATTACACTATATTTTTCCCCACACGACTCCGACGCAGGAGGCAGGTACACTAACCACTAGGAGGTTTGTTGTTATGTTACCTTTTGCTTCAGGTAAGCCTAAGTGCCAATACGTTAAAAATAGAGATGTCTATGAGGAACTTACCACATCACTCGCGCAAAAAGATCCAATCCTCAACTCACGTCCTCTTACCCCAATGTCCGCAGATTCGCAAGACTATCAGATGTTGAGTCCTGGTCACTTCCTTATCGGACGATTACTGACGGTGCCGGCGAGCTCAAATCTCACTGATATTCCTGTGGAGAGGCTAGATCGTTACAAGAAGGTCGAAAAGGTTCGACAGCACTTCTGGCTCCGATGGAGTACGGAGTATTCGGCCATTGTAGACTACCACCGCTGTAACACCTTCCTTTAAATTGTAAATTATACGCTATTTTTTATTTCGCTATTTATTTTCTAGTCCTTATACTTTAATCGAGGGAATTCATCACGCATCACGCAGGGCATAGGTTTAATTTTATTGAAGTTAGCATCCCAAACTGATGGTAGCACCCAACCCTCTATTGAAATTAGGGTGTTTTTTAATTTCAATAGCCCCGCGAATCATCCTTGGGAAGAATCGGCGTTCTTTTGCAAGAACCTGTGCTCTATGAAACCTGATGTAGTGGTTGGGGCGATTTAAGGTGTGCTCACAATATGCAGACTTGTTTGATGTTCTATGTTAGAAGTCAGTCATTTGTTCCTTCGCGCGGGTTTTTAGTGCTCCTATTGCTTGTCCTATGTAAGGGAATCCACATTCACAGTCAAGCTTGTACACGCAGGTGTAGATCTCAATCTTCAAGATCCAGATCTTGCACAGATCTACACTTATATTATATATTGCACTTGGGATATTGCACTTGCAGATGGTAAAAACTGACTAATCTTCTCCAGTAGCTTGTAGAACGTATTAATTATAGCCTGCTTCAAGATTAGCCAATCTTGTCGGAGACTCCTTGACGTATGGTAGAGTTGAACAGCAGGTTGGTTTCAATGGGTCACTGGTAGGCGCGGTGCTCGAAGCTTGTTGTCATGCAGAACTTGCTTGACTGATCAATTTTTGCCACCCCTATTGACCTATGAGATTAGATACCCAGATCGCAATCATACTTTATTCTGTTAATGAAATTGCAACTTTATTATTTGTGCTCTATCGTCTTCAAGACATCAGTTTTTTCTTGTTATTAGAATTTAATCTAGAGTTTTGGAAAAGGTTAAGCTATGCCTTAAAAATACTTTAAATAATGCTTAAAACATTTCTGTAAGACAAAAATTGCATGAAATATGCCGCTAAATCAGCCGTCCTAGACTCTAGCCTACTAGTAGACTGCTGGTAAACTCGCCACTGTATAGCATAGCTGTTTTCCTCCGTTCGTAGCACAAAAAAGCGGCATCTTTTGAAAATAATAGACGTTTTCCAAATCTTTTTACAGTTTACACAATTGTTGTAGTCTGTTAAAGTTAGCACAGATGTCGCTTTTATTAAAACTAAATAAATTTACTAGTTAACAGGTAAAAACAAGTTAATGTCAAATAATAATAATAAAAAATAGCCATTATACCCAAATATTTAAAGAATTCTTTTAACACTGTATGAGAGGCTGCTTTGTTTTACATTAGTTAAGTCAAACATAATGACTAGGTACATAAATGATGTAAAAAGACCTAATTGTGAATATTATCACAGTCTTATATACCAAATACACAATTAATCTTAGCGTTAAAGTTCTGCATTATTAATTATGACTTGTAACATATGATATGCAAGTTAGTTGAATTAGAATTCATAGTGCGAGATTGGAAAGTAGTCGGACATCAGTCACCTAGGCGGCACAGAGCGCGTCGTTCGCACGCGACTTTTGGACTTAAAAACGGATTGGCCGAAAGGGGAAAATAATAAAGAGTGGCGCCAATATTTGACAGCCGTCAAGTACGACAGTAAATGTCGTGCAAAATTGGAAGTGTTCTGTCGGTTATAAAAGACTCGTAGGATTAGTGGATAATTAATTATATTTACAGTGCTACATAATTCTGGGACTGCGACCCTAAAGGTGAGTTGTCATCTTAAGTCTCGTTAACTCTTCTTCTTTTAACTGTTCGTATTCTATTAGAAGCACGTTTGCTGGATGCTAATTGGACAATCATGGTGATGTAGTAAAATATTTGATAACCTAATTTTCATTTCCATCATCACATTAGGCTTAGGAATAAAATACTTAATGTTAGCGCAAATAGGTTAAATCAAAACATGTATTTTTTAAATTAATTTATTATTGGTAAACGGTACGAGTGGTAGCCTCGTACTGGCCATCGCAGTGTAGGACGACTCCCACTAGATGGAGTGACGACCTGTGCGGGAAGTCGATGGATGCAGGTGGCTCAGGATTGTACTTTTTGGCAATCTATGGGGGAGGCCTATGTTCAGCAGTGGACTCAAACATGCTGAAATGATGATGATGATTGTTAAACATTAATTATTACTGGTCTAGAGATGTCGAGATGAGAGTCTATGGTATAATAATTAATGGTTAACCGGCTCTCTGTTATTTATCTAGTTATACAATTTCTTCCAAATGATTTTTATATATTTTATCGGAATATCTGACTGTGACCTGCACATTATATTTTGACTGCGGAAGGGCTACCCAGCAGCTTTTGTTATCAAAGTGCATGTGCAGGCTCATCCAGGGTAGTGCAGTCTCTAGTTATCAAGAGACTGCACTACCCTGGATACGAGTAGTCTACTTGCTCATACCAGTCAAAGTAGACCGGTATGAGCAAGTATACTTCATCAGATAAAATTTAAAAAAAAAAGAAAGAAAATGAAACGTCATACTTCTTAGTTAACGTCTGGTAAGAGCTGGGAACTGGAACCCAATCTTTTAACAGTTGAGAACGCATGGGCAAGCCTACAAGTGTTATTTTTAGTTAGGATTGTCCATTTGCTTGTCAACAACTCACATTAAGAGAATATTTCTCAATACCAGTACGGTGATGATTAATTGAAGCGCATAGCAAATTATTGCCATAAGTTCCGTGCAATCAGTGGATTTTGTGACGGTAGACTGCAGCAATCGAATGATTTTAGACTATTATTTGGAACTCTAAATTTGACTGCAAACATTTTCTAATGTTGGAATAGTAATTTTCGAAGGTGTCTTAACTATATGTGCATCAATATATATTCATTTTAACGCAATAATATCGTAGTTTGAAACATTTCCAGGCGAATAAAACTTCATTATGCGTCTGATTCGATTCTTTAACTCATTAACTGCTGAATTTATTAAATAATTATGCGTATTTAGCCATCGCATTATGTCGTAATAAGTGAGACATAAGCAATCACTATTGTACCATTTTTGCACAACTTAGGTATCCTGCTACTCGAATGGAGAGGCTCGTTTGGGGTAATGCCACAGCCTCATAGAGTACCGGCGTGAAGTGGTATACTTTCGTGCTTTGGTTCGTGAGGTAACCAGGGCCCACTTTGTAAGTTGTAACCATTGGGTATTGGAGACATCGGGTGGACCGCCCGCTCGCTTGCCAAATTTTCAAATAAAAAAACTATCGGTCGATCGCAGCGGCATCTGCATTTTCCTTCAACAGTGGAGTAAAGTCTAGTTTTGGAATTCTGCTGAATTGCAAGTCCTATAAGTGACCCCGGTGGACTAACGGAACTGTTTCAAATCTTTTTATTCGATTTAGCTCTCTCATGTGGCCCAATATTCATTTTATTGAAATTTGGATGCTATTATGTGCATCAGGAGACTTCAATGAAATAGAATATGTGTATAAAGCGCGAGAAGTTGTTTAGTTTCTAGTAAATTACACTATTATTATTTTTTTCGAGAACTGTATGCGCCCGTCAATGTCCTGAACATTTACCCAATGCTGTATTTGAGTAAAAATAAGAAATCAATAAGAGAGCATTTTTAATCTGCATGCAGTATTATATATCCTGCATGTTTAACTAAACAGGTTTCTGAGGGTACCGTTATCAAAACTGTTAGTCAGCTGTAGTCTCAGGTTGCTTTGTTTGCTAATATTTTGTGCGTTTCTCATGTGAGGTTTTTCATGTTTAGTTTTTTAACTTGTAGTTCAATGCCGTAAAATGTAAATTTATTCATCATTTATAAGCAATTATCCTACTAGTTCTTTGAAACAAAAAATTAAAGACATATTCTTAACGATGTTGCTTACATTTTTAAAATTTTGTCAACTGATTTCTTAAAGTGGAAAAGTTACTGCCAATCTACTATACCGTTTCTCTTTAAAAGGGTAAAAGGGCTTTATTTTGTGCTTCAAAAATCTCGCATTAAATTCTCTTTTCGTTCGTGCTATGATTTAGATATAATATAAAATTATAAATTCTAAGCAACCTCCAAATACATAGCTAATAACCGTAATAATCACGTCAGCTTTCAAACAAAAAAAAATGCACCTTAATCGGTCTATTCGCGGGACGAGACACGCAGACAACACACAGATACATAGACAGACACGTCAAACTTATAACATTAGCTTTAGCTAAATGCACAGTCGACGGCCGTCGGGGTCTCGGTCTGAACCGCGACCTCGACGGCCCTTAGATGACACACCATAATTAAACGCACGCATGAGCACATGCGCGACCCTACCCATAGCGGAGGGTCCAAACCCGTGGGTTCTGGCTAGCCCACCGGTTCTGCGTCCGATCAAGCTTTAATAGTCTCTGGACTGAAAGCAAAAACATCAGTTAATGCAAGATACAAGACTTATAACACCTCTCTTTTAATGTCGGGTGTTAAAAATGACATACTGACCTTTGTATATTTCTAAAAATTTATAATACTATATAGGTATATGCTTATTATTTTGTAATTAATTAAAGTAACAAAAGTACAATCGCGGAGTACACTTTAACGATTCCATGGTCATTATCACCGAGTTGAACACTTAGACGATATCGTGTATTCGAGGTCTACCGCTGAACCTGAAATAGGAAACATCATAGAAGGCTAACTAGTTACATAATTGCCCGCATCGTTATAATGTGTTCTTATCTGGGTCAATATATATGTGGACTATTATATGTGTATTTGTGTGTATATTTCTTATACAACTAAGTGATCTTTTATAAACCCAATCATCGGAAGGTCCTTTTATTCGCTTATTATGTGTTTTAGTAGAATCATATCGAGAATCAGCTTTATTGACTCTGTTTATAGTATCTTATTTAATGTTTTGTTTTAATTGACGATGGTAATCATTTTGAGATTATGGTTTGATGATGGTTGCTGAAATCAACAACTTTAAATCATCATCATTACACTCCTTTGGACGCCAATTGCTTACACGGCCCTATGCCATTTTTTTCCATAGATTATTTGA